TAAAAAAATTTTAATGAAGATATTTATCTTAATTATGAAAATATACTAGCATGTTTTTTAATTTTTGGAACCTAACCCTCCTTTTCGTATTAGTTCTTTGTTTCGTATAACACAAATTCGCATAACACGGCAATTTTTTGTAACGTAACTACCGTGTTATACAGGGGTTACCTGTATTTCATTTTATTATTATTAAAAATAAAAATCCAGTGTTATTGTAAACATTTGCTTTATGCAGTTTTTCTTATTTTGAAGATCTTATTGGATTAAGCATGTATATCAGTTCCATTAGATAATGCAATGAAAATGGGCTGAAAAGTAGGTATGAGTGAGTGATTAATTACTGCCCAATATTGGACCAAATTTTTTACAGATTTGAAGGTTATATATGAAAATGTAATTTTTGAATTTTCAAAATATTGTTTCTTTGCATCAAATTGCAAAGTTAAAAATACATCCTAACTGAAAAGAATAAAGCATGCAAGATGGTGTATATCAGAAATTTTCACACAAAATTCAAATAAAAGAAATAAAGTTTTCAAATAATAATTTCACTATTTTAGAACAGGATGACAATCTCAAAATTGTTTATATTATCCTATATTATACTACAGTATAAAAAATTGTCAATTTTTCCAAATGCAATGTAGTTTAAAAACTTTGAAAATTATCAATAAAACTTGTAATTACATATCATCATCTAGGAACAATTATTTTTACTTGATAGTTCTTTCCTTGATCTCATAATACTGATATAGGCCTCATACTACTAACAGTGATATTTTGAAAAATTGAAAATTTAAATTTTCATATATAATCCTGAAATTTATGAAAAATTTAGTCCAATATTGGGCAGTAATCAATCATTCAATGATACCTACTTCTAGGCCAATTTTCATACTATTATCTGTCTGAGACCAGTTCATCGTGCTTACTTATCCTGCTGTGGTCTTTCTTTATACCATTGATAACCTAGAGCAGTGTTCCGCAACCTTTTTCTACTTGCGGCACACCCATGACTCGACACAGCACACCAAAATGTTATTCCCTTCAAAAACGTATGATATGATACTATTAATAGAATTACATAATGCCACTAACCTATTATTATTGTTATTAAACAGACACCAACACCTGTGAGCAAATTTTCTTTACATATAATTTATTACAATACATAAAAATGGGTGGCTTGTAATAAAGAATAAACAAACATCATCTTATTTCATCAGTGCTGCAGCAGAGAATGAAATACATACAAAAGATAACATAAGAAACACAACAACATACATACATAAGAACATACAACATACATACATAAGAAACACAACTGTGATAAAAATATATAAATAAAATTTGAAATTAACAGAATATGTAAAAGTTCACATCACATCTTTCACCATGTGACGGCACACCGGTTGCGGAACACTGACCTAGAGGCTCTCTATTAAAATTCAGATTATTTCTATATTTTGTTAATGTAAAAAATATTTAAAGTGAGGTTTGTTTTAAGAACTTTATTATTGAAGTAGGATAAAAAATTCATATATTAATATTAATTCTAAAATCAACACATTACAGCTTATGCAGAAAAACTACAAATGTGTTATTACTAATTATCACTATCTTTAAATGATATTTAAATTTTAAATATCTTCAATACAGCAAAAAAATTTTTAAAGATTTCTTTTGTAATAATTTATTTTAAGTGACTGACAGATCTAATACTGTGTACTATTATGTAGAATTCTAGGTTGTTCTAGATATTATTATTACTTTTAGTATACTTACCAGTTGTGGTTGGCTGAGTAATTTGTGAATCTGTAGTTGGAGTTGGAGGAGCCACTTTAGAAGGTCCACCTTGAACACTTAAAAGTTTGTAAAAGGTTATTTATAAAATTAAAAAAATGTTTATAATAAGTAAATATAAAAATATTTTTATAATGTATTCTTTCTTTAACAATGAATAAAATTGGAATATTTAACACAGAAAGAGAGAGAGTTTATTATCTATTTATAAAAATGAGTAAAAAACCAATGTAAATTTGGGTTAAGTTAAAAGAGGAAAAATATATTTTCTCGAGATAAATAATATGTTATGAAGAATATGGTATCAATAGATGCATAGAAAATACAATTTCTATCAGTCTATATTATATTATTGTTGGAAGAACTGTAATATATCATACAGTTTTTGCTTAGAAACTCTATTATATTCATATAACTTTTACTATAAAATGTACTAGAAAATTTCATTAGATATCAACAATTACAGCACAAGTTTGGAGAAAAATTATTAATAAACAAGAGAGATAGATACTATTAGCAAAAATAGAATGTCCAAGATTAAGAGAACATCTTGACTTATGATATCTTTAAATTAAAATTAGTAGCTGATTTTACTACCATCTTTGAAAACATGCTGAAAAATAAAATTTGATTGCAATTTTTGATTAATTCAATGTCTTTCTTGTGGAATATTTTCCCATATTTCCATGAGAACAGCCTTTAGTTCAGTGACAGTCCTTTATTGCTTTCCACTGCTATACATTTGGAAAACTAAGTCACCCCAAAAATTTTCAATTGAATTTAAATCTGCACTGAAGGGTGGTCAGTCCAAAAGTCAAACATTCTTGCTCTGAAAAAGGATAACATTGATTTTGATACATGGAAGCTTATATTATCCTGCATGAATTCAAAGTCCTCTCCATCAATTTTCTGTCCATAAGTTTGGAGCTACCTCCAGACAAGCTCCATATATGTTTGAGAGTTATTTCGACCTTTAATAAGTACTAGATCTGTCTTTCCATTCCATCCAATCTCTGCCCAAGTGATGAGTGTACCATCACCAGCTACTCTCTTTGAATACTGCTTTTGATCTAGTCTTTTGTCTGCCCAATAATACTTAAAACTATCAGGTCTATCAAGATTCCACTTTTTCTCATTTGAGAAAATTACTTTCTGCCTTCCTTCCCATCTTTCAAACTTGTCTCTGGCAAACTGTAAAAGTTGTTTTTGTTTCTCCTTGAGCTGGTTGTCTCTCTTCTTTTTGATGAAAGAAACATTGTCTGTTGATCTCAAAATATTGTGCATTGTTGATTAACTGCAGCTCAGCTTCAATTCATTTTTGATTTTTTGAAAGGATGTGTTTCCTTGCAGTGCACATCAAACAATTGCACATTGTTCTCCAGGTGTTGTTGAATTCTTGCACCCACTGTTTCATTTTCCTGTTCATTGCTCCTTATTGAGATACTTTGAGATTGCTAAAAATTTGGAAAGACTTCATTCAGCAATCAAAAGTTACTTTTCTCCCTTCCTGGTGAAACACATCAATTTTGATCATCCTCTACAGTTAGATCCTTCCCACATCCCATTTTTAATAGTAAGATACTATGCAATTTACTAAGCCTTTCTTTTCACTTCTTGTTTGTATTTTTATGCAAATTTTATGGAGTCCAATCATTACTTTCTTTGTAATTAATTTTAATCAGCACATGTTCTATTAATGTTGGACATCCTATTTTTGACGACAATATCTAACTCTTTTGTTTATTAATCATTTTTCTCCAAACTCATGCAATAATTGTTGATATTTTGCTATCAAAAAAATTTCAACAAAGTTACATAAAAATAGTAGAGAGTTTCTAGGCAATCACTGTATGTTCTATTATTGTTGGAAGGACTGTATGATGTTTAATAATGTAACAAACTAGTTTAAATTTAGAAATTATTCTCTGAATTTTACATCAAATAATTTACTGTGCCTGCTTCCATAGTTTAAGTTTCAAGCTAAATGAAGGCAATTTATGCATGCAGTAGAAGATATAGATATTATCAAATCTTTAAGCAAATGATGTATCCTTCATTTAGCTTCTTGTTTGGTATATTGTATTAAAATGTTATTTTAGCAACCTGTTATTTTGTAAGTTTGGCAAAACATCATTAAAAGAAAAGTGTTATAAGTATCCTTAACAAAATGCATTTTGGACTTGTATCATCCCTTTTCAGTTGTTAAAATTAAACTGTATAAAACAAAGGTACAAATAAATATTACCTGACTTTTTAACAATTTCAAATTATGCCATTAAAGTATATACATTAAGATATTATTTACTTTTGGAGTACATTCCAGATTATTAAATACATATTTACAATCTGAAACTTCAAAAAATAACATTAAAACCAATGAAACACAAACCATGAAACAAGAAGCACATATGCTTTAATTGATTGTTCCATTACTAGTTTCTGTTAATCTACTAAGCTTAAATTTTTGGTTTTTTTTATCCATATACAGGTTTTTATAATATTAAAATTTGGAAATTAAACTTAATATATTATTTGATTATTTAACACAGATTGATATCAGTAAAAAAGAACTGGAAGGGTTTATCAAAACCTGAAATGCATTTCCAAATACAGCAATAAAGCCTATATCAATGAAAGTTTCTTCCTGTGTAATTTAAGTTACTAATAAAAGCCAAAATTTAGGCTTAGTAAATTAAAAGAAGCACATACATTCACTACATGCTTTACTCATAATTTTAAGTATGTTTCAACTTGTTTTACTGATAACATTACATAAGAATACAATAAATTTGTAGTAATTTCTCAAAAAGTGAAAAATTATTCCAAATATATCAAAAATGTTTATTTTTAAAATATTAACTAAAAGTTTTAAGAAAATATTGAGTTAATTCAATGTAATAATATGAGACACAACAGCATTTCTAAAAGTGTGNATACATACACATATGTACAAGAAACTTTTTCTGGCACTTGGACTTATGTGAAGAATAAATAGATGTTTTCGTTATTACATATAGTAATTATTTTGGGTTTTCAATTCATTAACAACTTTTGTTACTTATTGCCCAAGTCCAGGCTTGGCACTAACCGAACCCTTGTTTAGGTAACATACCATTAAGGAAACAATCTTGGCTCTCGACAAACAGATAAAATCACTTGTGTTGTAATGCCTTAATAAACTTAAGCTGTCTAAGATGTTCTAGGTCTCATGTATTTAAATTTTAAAACAATGTTTCCAAGGGTCTAAAAATAAAATAATATTGACTTTAAACAGTATATGATGACAAAGTCTCAAAAGTATCCATAAAATACAAATAGTAAAAATAATAATATTTATGTAAGCAAGTAATGAATTGAATTTACAGTTGATTTACTAAACAATTTAAATGAGAAATTTAGAGTATTTTACAAATACCAAACTTTTCCCAAGAAATAAAGGATAATTCAATAAAAAGGTATAGTTTATAAATTCAGTTTTGTGAAAATACATGTTTAACATATTAAGATGATGATAATATTAATATCAACTTTTCTTTAAAAATAAACGTGATCAAAAATGTATTAAATGTATAATTTATAATTATTTAAAGTTTTTTAATTTATAATTACAGGTAACCCCCGTATAACACGGCACTTCTATAGCACGGATTCACTCTAACGCGGTTCGAGAATTGGTACCAGCCCCCGTATAACACGGTACTTTTATAGCACGGACTTACTCTGACACGGTTCGAGAATTGGGTAAAACCCTCGTACAACAGGAAATGTAATTAATTTTTGCATATTTAAGTAATAATAGTTCACGTGAACTATTATTACTTAAGTATGTAAAAAATTTTCTCTTCTCGCCTTCTGTCGCTACACGTGGTCCTTCTCGAAACTTGTTTCAATGTTGCCGAATGTTTTTCCCTTATTCCATACTTGCTTAGCACCATATAAGGAAATTTATAAAGATCTTTTAACTAGAAGCAAGAAATCTAAAATTACATACTTTTTGCAAAAAATAAAGCATGGATCTGAAAATAATGCAGAAAAATGCTCAGAGGATAAGGATAATTTGCCAAAAAGAAAACACACTCGGTTAATTAATAGTGTTTTTAGTGATGACGAAGAAAATATTGTTTAATTTATATTAATATGTATCACTTAAAAAAATTTTAATGAAGATATTTATCTTAATTATGAAAATATACT